ATGTATGTCCTTTTCTTTTAATACCTGGAAAACCGAACAGCTCAAGTCGGGCACACGGATAGTTTCTGAATTTTCGAGGATATAAACGGACATATCTTCCAACTGGATATGGCCCCAACGCGTGAAACTCGGCCTCTTCCTCCTGATCGTTAACTCTCAGCAGAGTCTAAACACAAAAAAAATTACTAACTATATAGCTCTGACTCTTATTCAAATTACTTAAGAAAGAATAGGTCAACATATATTGTATTGTAGAGTTTCTTTATTGTTTGTGTTACGATGCTGGTGTTTAAGTAGTTTGGTATAGTCCAGATTATAGTAATGTAGTTGAGTGCAGTGTAGTATTTTTAGGTGCAGTTTAGAGCAGTGTGGTACAGTAATGTGTTGTTGCAACGTGTTATGCCGTGTGGTACCGTGCCGCGCCGTGTCGTGCCACGTCGTGCAGTTGGACTTGGTGTGGTGCGGTGTGGTGAAAACAACGGTCACACGTAAGGCATGCGCCAGAGGATAAATTTTGGGCGCCCGCTCGCCAATTTTCAGCGCAAAATTTCTAAGGAAAACATAAGAAACAACTACTGTGGCGCAAAGTTGCAACGTTGATAGAAATTTGTGATTTGAAACAAAAGAAGGGAACAAGAAACCTCAAGACTAATACACAAAGCTTATACATGTCCGAGTATCCCTTTGGTTTTCCATTCTATTTTGATCTTTACCTGCCGAAAAATTTACCCGCTTTTAAAACACCGTGACTTGCCGGCCACTTATGTGGTCGTTAGTAATCCGTGTGAGAGACAATTTGGATCTGACAGCCCGAAAGCATCACAGTACACCTGTCATTAAAACGTTCAAAAATGTGCGGACGTTTTACCACAATGTTGGGTCTGTGTGGTGTTGTGTCAAAAACAGCGAAGTAAAATTTTGCTTCAAAGGAATTGAAGGAACACGATTGGGAACTTGACTATAGAATCAATGCTCCTTACCTTGGAATATGAATTAAAAAAACTGCCGTCAGTAGAGAATTCCAGGTCGAAAGATTCGACGTTCCCGAAAGTTCCACCCTGTACTATGAGGCCACAGACGACGTAATCTCTTCCCATATCAACTTGAAGATACTCGTTATCTCCTTTATTGGCGGCGCACCATCCCTCACCCTGTACATCACCTATACGAGCGTGGTGAGGGGATGTCTCAGAACTTAGGGAAGATGAAGCTGTGAATTTGTTATCTGGCATCTTCTTTCTGTCACTAAACCCTATGTTGAAGTTCTGGCACCGTTGACCTTGAAAAGAATATAAAAGTGTGATACAAATTGTTGTGTTTTAGAATCCTTCCGATTGTGAATTGTACTCTTTGGTAAATGACAAATATACTGAATTCATTACTACTGAACTACCTAAAGAAATGTCCAAGCTGACCGAGTTTAACTGACTATCTGTGAAGATTGACTGGCTGAGTGAGTGAGTGAGTGAGTGAATGACTGTCTCACTTAATGTCTGACTGCTTCATAGACTAACTGACCCACTGTTTGACTGACTGAACGAATGAATAAGTGAACTAATGGCTGACTGAACGACCTACTGACTGATTTAGGAAGTGAGTGAGTTGCTGACTTAGTGATTGCGAACATGACATCGATTATACTATTACAGTCGATCTCGCCAACATGTCTTCTGCAGTTCAGATGGAACAGCATCCAATCCCGAGGTCATGAAGTGCTCGCACTCTGGACCAAATTTTTTCAGGCCTCCTCTCTTAAATCAAACGATTCTTTTCTCTATGCTGCCTATTAGGTCTTATCTGAAAACCTGAAGATGCTTGTTAACAAAAGCTAATTAACAAATGGTAAACACCACAGCGTACACTATTGAGTTATGGATGCACGCGGGCATTTATGGGCAAATGGTGGACGCTAAATTGACCAATCAGAGCGCGCGCTTTACTTTGGTTATGTTATAAGTGCAGTTCCCTACCGATCCAGGTTCAGTTCGCGATATAATTGCTTCCTAGTCTTTGCTATATACTTCATTTATGAAAAACAAACCACTTGTCACTGCCTTTTGCCGCTATATACGTACTCAGCACAGTGTAAACAAATTTTGATATTTTTTTGTGTAAGAAAACTTATCGTCCTACCTTCAACATAACGCCCATCGAGAAAGAGAAGTTCCAAAATTACCAACCAGGATAATTGTCGCATTTTTTGTTGCTGTCTTCAAAACTCTTAGCTTCAAAACAAACATACCAGATCAGTTTAAAAGGAAGACGCTCTCAAGCATTGACAACATCGTATTTGCATCAAAAAGACCGAACCAACACATCGAGGAGAACAACTGAGGTTATGCGCTGCCTCTCAGTGCTATGACAAATGGTAAGACATTTTAATCTTCTTGGATCCTTAATTAATCTTCTCTCTTCTCAGGGTTAGCAGAGGACGTTAAAGAACCTACACACTTCTCGCGATAAGTAGTGAAGGTACGAAAGAAGCTCCCGGTGTTCGCAGTGGTCTGGCCTTGTTATAGTTTATACAGACCCCAGATTTAGAGTCAAACTGGGCCAGCCTGTCCAAATATCGCACATAAATAACTGAATAAAATAAATTGACAGTTTATTAGAAATGACTTCAACAAAGTCTGCATTTTCACAAACCGTGACGTCAATGGTAATTTGAGGGCTAGAAAAGTTTAGTTAAAAAGCTGCTCACCGAATGCAGAATTTCCGTCTCTCAAAATGATCAGCGGCAGTTTTTGAACGTAAAAACAGTAATAATATATCTCTTTCAATTCAAGCTAAGGCAGGCAAAATTTATTGCCTTACAAGTAAGTTTACTGATTGTTTTTAGTCGCTTCGAAGGAGCATTCAACTAAATCAAATATATCTCGAGCAGAATTTTGCTTTTTGTTTTTGTCTGTTAAATTATCTTGACTGAAGTCTGTTTTGATCCAGCAAGATCTTCAAGTTTATGTACACTTTTCCGTTTGTTAGGACTGAAATGTTTGAAGACCGTCACGTTAGATTCAAATTGTTTCTATGCCAATTGTGACCGCCGGCCTAAGAATGCATAGAATCCTTCAGAGGAATTTAACTTTGAAGTCGATCAGATTCATTTACAAGTCCGGTCGTCCTAAAAGTAACACGAAGGAGAATAAAGGCAGTTAGGAAGTAGAGAATGACGAAATTATGGGGTCGTGTTAATCTTGTGCAACCGGAGTAACAACGAATTTTAACAAAGTTATGAGAATTGCCTAAGTGAGTTCGACGGGCCGTGAAGACAAGCCTCGGCCTTGCGTGTCTTAGAACACTCTGGAAAGACAAATAACTTTATTTCTTCGCGTTCGTCTCATTCTTAATATTGGAAGATCTATGAAGAAACAAAAATCTTCTTTTTAATCCTAAACACACTGAAACTGTATTATTTCACACCCTTTTTGTTTTCCAATCAGTTAAAACTTAGTCATAGTATTGATCGCGTATAAATGGTCTGAAACATTTTGAATGACAACACAACCACAAAAAGTTGCGAAACTTGACAAGTTCCATGTCTTGCCTTTAGCTTTCGAATGACCTTTATCCTTGTTGCTAAAACATTTAAACCAGTTACAAAATATTTAAATCGTATTCTCCATTATGAAATAGCTTATGTTGCTCACACAAATAAACAAATATCTAACTTACACGATCCCAAGTTCGATGGTATAATAACTGAACCTCCACGCGGTAAGAAGTTGACAAGTGATGCAAGGGTGCTGTTTGTGGTTCCCTCAAGATGTTTTTAAGATGCACTCATTCAGCCTTTTGCGAATTTATCTCACACAGATGTGAGCTCTGTAGAGCATGTACTACACTTGCGCGATGCTTTCTAAGCCTTTGGCAATTTGATTATTGCGTTGGAGAACTGAAATGAATAGACCACGAATTTATTAATTTGATTTACTCACTATCATTGGTAGGTGATTAGGTCTCCGGCTATGACGAAGTGTTATGCATTAATTTACTCATTGAACCGATACATATCTCAACAGCAGTCGATAAGTTATTTTCCAAAAAGCTTAATTTCCAAGTCTGTTAAACTTCTCGATGTTACGTAAAACTCTTTTAGGGCGAAAGGTTATTCAGTTTTTTAAAATCTCTTCCAGACGTTTTTAAAATCTCTTCCAGTTCGTGAAAAGTCATTAAGGAATTAATTTGACTCATTCGACCGTAGTTGTCACAGAAAGCCTTAATCAGAAATCAAAACAAACGATCTCTCTCGAACTCACAGGAATTAATTCCTGGTTTCGATCAACAAGTCTTTTCATTGTTTATTGAACGCGGAATGGTTTTCATCTATTATAGGTGCTATTTCAGCGGCAGTTCAGTTCTCAATTGAGACAGTATAACCTTCATTTATGACACTCTTAAGAACTGGTAAGAGTGTCCCGTAAATTGAAGTGTTCCTTCGATGAAGTATCTAATTTCTGGTAACAGTATTATCCCTGAATCAAACATTTTGGTCATTCGAATGAAGAAAATGATTGCGAACTCACGAATTAAGCTCTTTATTGTTAGACAAATTTTCCTTGTAAATACCACTGGAAATGTATGGGGAACTTGCATACTGGTGTTAGGTTATAAACCGTACGCTAATTTGAATATTATTCTTTTTTCGGTGCCTTTGCCAGGGAAATGAGTTGTATCAGCTGTACAACAAATTTGTTCGAAAATCAGATCTTGAAAGTACCCTCTAAAGAAAAATGTTGTTTATAAACGTACACGAGGCAGTTTCATACTTTGTGCAATTGTACTGAACCCTCCATACTGTTCTTTATACATTTCCTAAGGAGCTGGCAAGGGGAATATGTTCAACAATCAAGAGCTTCTTTAGTTGGTGATTATTTCCTTTATTCTTCTGACCTTATTGTCTGATTCGGGGGGGGGGAGGACATTGTGTGTGAT